GTGTGTGTGTGTGTGTGTGTGTGTGTGTGTGTGTGTGTGTGTGTTTGTGTGTGTGTGTGTGTGTGTGTAATTCCTCCCTCACACACACATTGATTAAAAATGTCACAATTTAAACTAAGTATTTACTTAGCCAGCTAAATATTTAGTTTACCAACTAAATACTTAGAGAGCTCCAATATTTAACTCGGAACTCGATTTTTAGTTTGCAACATAAACATTTAGAAAGAAGCTAAATTTATAGCTGGTGACTAACTACGTACTTAAAAGCTTAATATTTAGTTAATAAGCTAAATATTTGGTTCACTACCTAAATATAAGTTTGGAGTTTAGTTGTTTAGTTTTAAAGCTAAATAATAAGATGGGAGCTAAATATTTATCTCACTAACTAAATATTAAACATTTAGCTCGCTAACTAAATATTTTTGTTTGAATTTGTGATTACATTTTTTAAATAATTTCTAAATGAACCCAAGCCAACAAACTAATGTACTAATCTTGGATCTGTGTCATCATACTTAGTCGAGGCTGATGTGCAGATATTTCTTTCTACTGCGCAGAACCAGTTCAATGTGTCATTTGGTTGAATTGGAGATTAAATGTCTTGTGGTTTGAAGGTTTAAAACAAGCAATGCATTCCTGTCTGCGGCTGAAGAAGAAAACATCCGAGTGGCTTAAATTAGTTGAAAAGCAGCTTGTTTTGTGTTTTTATGAAACAGCTGATGAAGATCCAGCATTTTGCTGACAAGTAGGTGGAGAAAATATAGCCTGATTGTCAGAGAGAAAACCCAGAGCTGGTGCCACTGCAGAAATGAGACCCACGGTGGCAGATCTCATTTACATCCTTATCACAACCACACAGGTATAGATTACCTGTCGGAGGGTGTGTGTGTGTATAAACCTTATCTGGTGCCGTCATACTGTCTCTCTGCAGCATGACTGCACTCAGGTTGCATTGAATACCCTCTAAATCCAATCACACACTTTGGAGGACAATAAACAATAGTGGTGATGCAGCTTGGAACCCAAACCCTGGCAGCTGACTTCACCCCAGGTGGCATCGGCCCCGGCAGGCGTTCGGGCCGCAGCGGTTCCGCCACCTGCAGGAAGGGCATCAGAAAGGAGTCACAAAGTATGAAAAGTATTCATGCACCTCTGAAGCTCTGAACCGTTAAAAAAGTTGATAAAAAAAAACAACACAAGCAAAAAGTGTCTTTCTTTTAATATAGACTTAAAAAACATTAAAGTACTTCAAAACAAGTAGATTTGCCCTCAATAATTAGAGCAAAATTGTGAAAGTCCATCTCATTTTACGTTTACCATTATAAAATTTGATGATATTTCTCTAAGGTCAGAAAACACCAAACTTGTAACGTCAGCAGTCTGTTACCTGGCAACCCCAACATTACCCAGACCGTTACCTGGCAACCTAAGCAGGTTTGGTCAAATGGTTTTAAAGCCTTATGAGCCGTACAATGGCTGCTGGAAAAGGCAAGCGCTGTTACTGCAAAATAATACCTTAATATTAATTTCTAACCGTTCCTCTGACAGATAATTTTACTTAAAACAAGACATTTTTCCCATTTTATTAGTGAAATAATCTGCCAGTGCAACTAGAACCTTTTCATCTGTATTAAGGAATTATTGACTTAAAAATTTTTTGATTTGTCTTGCTGTAAAGTTTGTTGAGTCTCATTTCAATTTGCACTGATAATAAACCAGAAACACTTTGAAAATGTTGTGTTTTTGCAGTGCTGCTGTTGACTTATCTTCCAGGAACTACTTGCTGCATTTTTGTTGGTTGTGCAGAAGGCTCCACTTCTGCTTTTCAAAGATGTATGGTTGTATAATTACACATCTGTTTGCAGCCATTTTCACGTGCGAGTGTAAACGTTGAGTTGGGGGGGCGTGGCTGGCAGCAGCTGGTTTGGACTTAAAGTGACAGAGACGCTAAAACAGATCATCCTGAAAGGAGCTGGACATGATCAAAATAAAACCTCCGGAAGCGTAGCAGGTCATCTTTAATGTTATTTTCTTTTTGTCTTTGATGTTAAAACACATCTGGTTTCTTATGTATAAATTTTCCCATAATATAAGCAAGCTTACATTACCCTTTTTTTTTGTTTCTAGATGTTATTAAAAACAGAATCTTTGTTGTTCACAATAACCCAGCATCTACGTTTTTTAAAATAATGTGCGACAAAGCAGGGTGAGTGTATAATTTCTGCCTCAGAGACATAAACATTCATTATCCGGCCGTTGCAACATATCTTCTCTCTTGCTGAAGTGAAAGCTGCAGCAGAATATTTGCCTCGGCATGTACCTGAGAGAGGCTCCGCCCCCTTAAACACAAACAAACCCGGGGTTCTGTCTCATGCCCTGCAGCTGAGAGGCCTACCACAGGACAATAAAGGTCAAAGGTCGGGATGGGAGGGGGTGTGCCAGGTCTGTTTAGGATGCTAATAATATGCAAGGTTCTCGCTGCAGTAACTAAACTGCTGCAGTGCTGCCCCTTTATTTACTCCGAGTTTAATAAAATAGTAATTATTGTTTGACTTTTTAATGCTTTATTTAATTATCTTTACATTATATTTGTATTAATTACTTTTTATTTTATTATGAGTCATGTATTTAAAATTTTGTTTTATTTTTAGTAACCAATTTATTATTTACTTGTACAATAAAGTTGTTTTTTATCATGACTTACACATTAGAGGCTATAAATATTCTGTCTTTTTATCTATTATTTTATTTTATTTTTAGTTACTTATTGATTTTGTTTATTATATACCAAAAACAATTAATAAATGAATAAATGATAACTTAGGCACTAAATGCTACAAACTCTATCTTACTTTACCTGACAGTTGCGCAACTGTGGCAACACGGTGTAGTTTTTACACCATGGGGCGGCTGATTAGCATCACTAAAACTCAAATAACACCTGAACTACGACTCCAAATCCAGGAGAAGCTGAAAAGGTTTTCCAACAAAGAGATTTAAAGAGGAGCAGCAAACGCAAAGGAGGTGGATAAGCAGTGCTAGCAACAACCTAACATGCTGTGAAATGCCGACTCTGTTGACAGTCATGAGATTGTAACATATAAACTTCACTCTTTAGTCAGAGGCTTCTTCAGGTTTGTTGCGAGACTGACTGCTACTGGAGATCCTTGTGTATGATGTGAGTTAAGACATTTATTTTCCCTTTGGGGAATTTAAATTTAAAACCTCTCAGAATCAGTTGCAAATATTAACTTTTAATTGAGAATATAGTAATTTGAGGATAAACATGTTTGCAAAGTTGCATCTAAATGATGAAGCACAAAATTTATTGATTAATTTGTATTTATTCTGTACAAATAATGATGCAAAATCCACAATCATAACTAAAAATGAGCAAAACGTAGATTAATTTGCCTCTTACTGTCAAAAAAGTGTTGGAATATTTTTGCATAAATCATTAGCCAATAAAAATCAACACAAGAGGAGCTGATAAACACTTTCAGTGAAGTGTTTACTGAAGGCTGACTCATCCTCTCCTCACACACAAACTTTACAGCTGCTGAAAATGGGTGTAAAACTGAGAGGAAATTAGGTTGGTGGAAGAAAGGAGGGGTTTGTTTTCACTGGGGTGTGGGTGGTGTGTGTGCAGGGCTGTGATGAGGAAATGCCCCACAACTTTACTCTGGCGGAGGGAAGGAGGGGGAAGATTCATAATCAGATTCATAATCAGATTCAAAAAGGGTTCATTTATTGGCTGCTGACTTTCGAAATGAGCGAAACTGATGAAAATCAAACATTTTCTCCCAGCTTTTTTTGTTCAAATTGTCTGTGAGAGAAAGGAAAGGAGAGACAGCAGCATCCTGCGGGGGAGCATGTCAGCACTTGTTATGAAGGACAACCGGAAGTTAGATCACATCACTTCACAATAAAAGAACTTAGACAACAACATGACACTTTGCTGCTGGGCAACAATAATTGTCTCTCTCTCGTTTTTCTCCTTGAATACGGATTAAATTTTGCTTTTATGAGACTTTTTTAACATTTGAATCCATATTTTTGTGGTTTACAAAATGTTGCTTCCTCATAGCAAAAATTTTAAAATGTATGTTTAAAAAGAAGAGCGCAGTCTTCATACATTTTCTGTCATTTTTATTCAACCTCTAATAATTGAATCATATAGCGTATTATTAGTGCATGCTTTAAAAAGTGTTTTATGGCAATTAATTTAAACTTAAATGTCTATTACATACCACTCTCGCTAATTAATTAAGAAAAGAAAAAGTGTTTTGGTTTGGGCATAAGTGAGGACTTACAATCAGTTATTCAAAGTAAATTTACAGGTTAAGCATATAATTAATGACTTATGATGCCAAACTACATGTTTAGAAGTGATAACACAGCAATAAATTGATTAATGAATGAAAACTTTTTTTAGTAGGTGGGAAATACATATATTAGAGAAACAACATAAACAAATAAATAAATATCCTCATTACAGAATTGCTCCTGGTCTTGGTCATAAGTAGACATGATAAACAGAAAGTAAACAAATAAATTACATTCTCTTCAAGTCAATTTAATTTCAATTTAGATTCAAACACATAAAGAACAAAAATGAGAAAAAAAATCCCCAGGAGAAATCACAGAAGCATGAAAACAAAAAAGAAAAGGGAAGAGAAAAGAATCTATAATGTAATTTACATATTTGAAATTGAGTGATAACTAAATAAATAATAAACAATAAATAAATAAGCAATTACACAAACTTATAATTCATTTAGGATTAAAACATTTGATTTAAGACCAGGTTTTTTTAAAAAAAATTAGCACTACCTACTTGAAATAAATGTAAAATAAGCGGATAAGTAAATAAAAAAATAAATTAATTGGGGTAATTAGTTATTTTCTGTGGCGCTTCAGTTAGCCTCTGCTAGCTAGCATTAACGCCGAGATAGGCGGAAGCATTTTATTCTGATAGGGCAGAAGCGGAAGCAGTTCGCGGCACCGCCGTTGTCTTCTCTTTTGACAGCCGCCTTAAAGCGCCGGAACAGCAGAGCCAAACATCAGACCGATCTCCACGCCGAAACTGTGTATCCGCGTCTGGATGGGTCACCCGGCGTCGAAACAGCCGCCATCCCGGAGCTCCTGATCCCGACTCGCTTTCCCGCCAGCAGCCTGGACTCTACTTCCATGTTCTGATCCGAATCCTGGGCTGGGTCTTCTGGAACGTTCAGTTCTCTCGGATGTCCACCTCGTTCTCCCCGCCGCAGCAGCATCCGCAGACCGCAGCAACACGGATCCCGTTCAGCAAGTAAGTGGACGGATGGAGGCTGAAGTTGAGACTCTGACAGCGCAATGTTGCGTCATCCCTGCAGCAGTGCGAGGAAAACGCGCCGTCAGCTGAATCCGATGTGACGTTAAGCTGATTCTTCTTCTGCATCGTCGATCTGGAGACCCAGATATTAAACCCGGGTCTCGGCTGGTCAGCGCGCTGATGTCGCTTTGTCAGACATGCCCAGACATGTTGGGCCAGAAAAGAGCCAGAAACTCCCAAATATGCGCCTTTCTAAATTAATATTTACGATTAAACTGCACGTGAAAGCAGTTAATACACATACACTAAATATTCTTCAATAGTCAAAGAAAATGTCATGTTGAAAAATGTTTTTGTTTATTTTAAATAAGCTGTTTTAGTAAACAAAACATTAATGTTAAATTTTATAGCGGTTTTTACAGCTTCAGACATAAAAATGATAATAATTTATGAGTTTTTTCCCATTTAATCAAAAATGTGCGCGCTCCCTCGTGCACGTATTTGTTTACAAACAAGTCTCGTGCTCAGGCAGACGGCGCGTCTGCTGCCACCTGGCGGTGAACTGTTGAATCGAGGTTAGCAGGTGAAACTGAAGGGAAAATGGATCTAAAAATAGATAAATGAATTTAACTCTCACTTCTAACATATGTGATATAGTTTGGTTTTTAATCAGTAAATTAATTTATTCTACAATTTTAACTAACATTTAGGTTTGATGATTTTTTTTACTTCTAATTAATTTTCTGCTTTATTTTCATTTCAGTTTATTCGCTTAATGTTTCTCTACTTATATTTTAGCTCTGTATTTTGTTAATTTTTCTCAGTTACATTAATTAATTTTTTTTAAAGACCTTGGACATTGTCAGAATTTAGGCCCCATTATTTGTGCATTTTGCATGTAATAGCCCAGATATATGCCATTTATTAACTGCAGATGTGCTTAATACTTTTATTCATAGAAAAAAAGATTTGTGAAGTTAGTTATTTGAGTAAAACTCAAAAGCTAGTTGGTCTGATAAGTTATTCGAAAAAACTGTGAGTCTAATGATAATTGATGGGCTTTGAAAGGAAGTTTTGTTTTGCCGAGATGTCATAATCCATTTTATTTATTGTTTTATTTAGTTATTTAGAATATCATCCAGTTACCAGTTTTAGGTGTACTTTAGAAGTTTTATTGCTTTTTGAGAGGTTATTAGGTTAAAATGGTCTCAAAACGATAATATTTTCATGTATCACAATCATTTCTGTGATTATTTATCGGTCAGCAGTATTTGTTATGGTGACAGGCCAATTCTACACAACCAGAGTAGACCAGACTCGTTGTTGTTAGCAGCTGGTGTAAAATGTGCATTTTTCTGGACCATTTAGGCTCCTGTTGAGATGGCCCGAGCAGAAACCATCGAGACTGCCGGAGAAAATGGAGGCGGACGAAACGGCCCGCTGTCTCTGCACAACACCTGCCGCATGGAGCTACCCCAACCAATCCACAACCGGTCAGGCCCGCGGACCGAACCCAGCGTCCCCAGCACGCCCCCCCACAGGGAGCCACTGCCGGGCCTCTACCTGCCAAACCGGCTGCCTTGCTCCCACCCAGAGGGCCACCAGCAGGCGCCGGCGTTATCGCCGACGCCGTCCTGTCGTCTGGAAACCAGCCGGAGAACCGCCGGCAATGACCCGTCACAAGAAGAACCGGGTAAGAAACTGGTAATTACTCCAAACTACAAGAACCAGGTCTGTCAGGTTTGTTCAGGCGAGAAAAGTGTTTTAAAAGAGTTAACTCAATAAATCAATAACTATGTATATCGCCACAGAAACATGATCAATATCAATTGATAATACGTCTGATAGATCAGGAGTGGGCAGAGGAAAGACGTTAGCCGCTCAGCTTCTCACAGCTAGCTAAGCTAGGTTGGTGGAATCAACTAAGTCCCTCCCTCTTTGGTTACCTAGCAACAACCTGCTGAGCAACCTACGGCAGCAGTTTAAGGTTTTTTCTCATAACGGCTCAAAAATAAAAAATGACGACATGGAGTGAAAACTGGATCAAACAGGAAACATCACACCACCAGTTTGGCCTCAGGTACTTAAAAAAACGAATCAATAACGATCAATCAACTGAAACAAACATTGTGTTCCGATTTTCAGCCATATTGTCCTAAACAAAACCTAAACCTAATAATAGTTCAGGTGTCATATCTGAAGTATGTGGATCAGTTTTGAGTAACAGGAAAGGCAGGAAAGCAAAACTGGTTTCAGAGCAGAAAGTAGCAGGTATGTTGATATGACTGAAAGTTTTATGATGATATTTTGCAGTTCTATTATAATTAGGCTTGTCGCGACAAATTAATTAATCGCATAATGAACAAACTCAATAATTTCCCTTTGCATGATTTGTTGTCTTCAGCCTCATGTCTTTGTCTCAAACAGCTCTTGTTTTGAAGGACAGGTTTGTTTACGGAGACTCCATAATTCATTTTATTGGTTGTTTCTGTTGTTTTATTTCTTTGGGAGCACATTATTGTCCAGGACAATTTGTTATTCTGACAGCCCTAATTATGATAACGACAAAAGTGATGATAAGAACTAAGTATTACTTTTTCTAGATAACTGTATGGCTGTGACTGCATGACACTGCATTCATAGTCCCAGAAACACAAATAATGGTCTTGAAAGACATTCCTAGTTGTAGTTTCACATAAATGTAAGCCAGACATATTGTCAAATTAATTGATTTCTAGTGATAAAAGCTGCATTTCATTTCAAATCTGCACAAAACTTTGACGATATTCGACTAATGGCAAAGAAACTACATTTCCCAACTGCTGTGTTTCTATTGAATAAGAATAGCGATTATAATCACTTGTGAATAAGATTTTTCACGCGATAGGTAATTAAGAAGATGCTGCACCATCATTCTCACACCACTTCCTGTCGCCTTCTTCTTTGTGGTTTCCGCCAGTAGTAGCATCCTGTTGTTGATCATGTGACTCGTGTTTCCATTGCAGTTTTGCAGAATAAATCGTTTCCAAAACTTTTTCACTGCAAATGAGTTTTTTTTAATTGGTTTTCATTCAGAAAAACGTGAAACTGCAATTATATGATCAATGGAAACAGAGCGATTCTAACATCTCTCAGATTAACGCTTTACTCCCTCCATAAAGGTTAGTCTCTGAAGTAAAAACGCTGAAAATATCAACTACTCCAAAGAAACCTAAACAACTCTCCCTTTAAGTGTAACCTTTGACCTAAATGGTACTAAAAGGAGAATGCTGTTATGAAATATGAGGCGTGACTGAAGCACAGAGGACAGTTTGACTTTTGGACCTCCACCCTAAAGTAAATACGAGCGTTATCAGTTAGCAGGACCGTATCGGTTATGTGGGAGTCGCACTCGAGGCTTCATTTTGTTTGGGTTGGATGATGATGATGATGATGATGATCCAGTTAAGTTGTAAGAGAACAAACACTGCAAAAACACAAAATCTCACCAAGTATTTATTGCCTGGTTTCCAGTGAAAATAAAACTTAAAAGTAACTTTTTACCAAATAGGAGCTTGTTCTGAGTCAATAATTTTATAATACTGATTAAAAAGTACAATTTTCACTGGCAGATTATTTCACTTAAAAAATGGGAAATAAGTGTAGCAAGTACTTTTTCATTAATAATAATAATTTATTGAATTAAAACAAGCTCTCACATATTTCTGAAGTTTGTTGTGTTTTCTTTTAAGTGTAATATTTATCTGCACTAGAAATTAGACTAAAAAACTTGGTAAGCCTTTGTGTTTTTGCAGTGCGTATGCAGGACGGCCTGCTACAGAGCAGTTTGGTTTGCATGACAGCATGCGTCAGGCGGTGCAGTTGGTAATTAAAATGTCAATAAGCTGAAGGCGACGGGACGGTTGGTGTTTGGTTGGCTGGGTGCCAGCCTGCAGGGAGACATTTTTAACAATGTAAGCAGAGAGTCTAGTTTGCCCCGCCTCCCTCAGCTGTGGGTCAGCTGTGCAGAGATGCATGTTCAGACTTGTCCTATGCAACCTGACAGAAATAAAGAAATCTGCTGCACTTCCCTGAGCTCCAGCAAGTCAACTAGTCAGACTGCATTTCTCCAGCAAATCAGGCTCAGAAAGCTTGTCAAAGAATACAATAATGGAAGGTATTTTATAATTTGTGTTCAAATGTGTGAGTAAATCTGGCTTGCTTCTTTTTTTAAAAACAAAATGTCAAAGATTTTGTTTAAAGAAAGAACAGCATTCTGTTATTTTCTGTTTTTGCTGTTAGGAAAAGGGAAAATATTTCTACCAATACTTGGATTTATGTCTTAGTGCACTAAAAATAAGACAAAATGTTCAAGTAACTTTTCTTAATTCCTCAATGTTGATGAAAAAGTTGCTGGGAGATTATTTTCATTACCACATGGGAAAAATGTTGTTAAAAATATTCATTTTCATTACTGCTTAATAAGCTTAGAGTGAAATGAAACAATGTTGAGTCTATCAAAACACTCAAACACGCTAACAGCTTTAATGCAAATCAATCAGCTGCTAAAGTTAGCATGCTAACACTAGCATTCTCCAATCATTGTTTCAAGTCAAGGCTGCAACTGTAAAACATCTGTTTGGTAGATTTTATCTTATTAAAGTGGCTACTAGCTTTCAGATATGTTGACATAAGTAAGGCTGAAGTCTTAATTATGTAACTGAATAAACTGCAACCAGGAATTTATGCATTAAAATCTGCCATCAGTTTGATGAAGATGAAATATTGTATCAGAAAGTTTTCAACCGAAAATAGGAAAATGATTCTGTTTATTGCTTCTGATTGGTTCCACGTTCTGTTGGTGTTTGATTGATTACATGATTAGGTCTTTAACTGTGTCCACATAATAAAACAAGCAGTCACCCAGATATCTTCTTCTTTGTATCGTTTCGTTTTTTGTTAATGAGCCCAAAGCAGCAGACATCCTCATGTGTCTCATCTCTGAGTTTCCTTGTCGCTCCATCAAGCGGTCAGGTTCATCCTTAGTCCCGCCTCTTTTCCTCTAATTCATCCAATCACAGCTCAGCCCCCCCTGCGCTCTCCTCCAATCACAAAGCAGACATCTCTGTGAGTCAGAGTTACCTTGGCAACAAGCCAGGGTTTTCCTGTTTATTCGGGGTTTTATTTGCCTCTGCTCTCTTTTTTGCCCCTTCTTCGTCCCCCTGGATCGTTTGTAATCTTCCCAACAAAGCAGATGACGTCTTTAAAACAAAAAAAGGAAGCAAAGGTTGGACAAAGCATAAAAAATAGTGCAGAGAGTATTTACTTTGGAGCGACTTCTGATCGGAAACAAAACCTTAAGATGCTGGAGGTGAAAAATACTAATTTTGGAAATTAAAACTAGAAACAAGAAGTAAAATTGTATTTTTGGGGCAGGCCTGTCAAACTACCAAATTTTAATGGATCATAAAATTAGAGCTGCAACTAACAATTATTACTGACAATTAATTGGGTACAAAAATAGTTTTAATTCAACCACTGAAGCCTTTTTATAAATGTTAGAAATGCATTAGAAGATAAACGAGGCAAGTACATTTAGTGAGTCTGCTCTGACTGCGTCTTCTTTAATCAACTGACATCCTTCTGTCGGTTTTCTCCAGATAATGATCAATTAATCACTAAATTCACTGACAATTATTTCAATAATTGATTAATCATTTCGGCTCTGGATAAATTGTCCACAAAATTCCTGTAATAAACCACAACATTGTCATTTTGACGCCATTTGCGACTAATCTGAGATAAAACATGAAAATATGGAAAACATTTTACATATGAAACAAACAAAACAATAAAAACAACAGTGATAAAAAAATGGATTAGGCAAAAGTGGCAGGCAGTGCAAACTCACTATGTAATTATTGTGCTCATTTAATTTCGTCCTGATTAATTGATTGATTGCTTATGGAAACAGGCTCAGTTTGGGGACAGTAAAGATGCTTAAAATAAGAAAACATGGAAAATTTGAAAGAGAAAACATAAGTAAATACAATTTCATGTGACAGTAAAACCCCCATTATAGTTGTGTTGCTTCATTACTGTCTTTAAAAATGGTTCAAAACATATTTCCTCTTACAAAACTACATTTCCTCCAACAGGTTTGTTTATGTGAGCAGACAAAAGGTTGAGAACTTGTTTATTTAACAGGCTATTTAACCTGTTAAATAAACAAAACAAATACAACAGAAGCACATAAACAGCAGAAGTTAACAAACCAGACCCATTAAGCAGATTAAAAGATTACGCTCCCAAATTCCATCAAGAGGAAAATAAGTCACAGCCAGGCTCTTTAAGAGCCGTTTGAACGAAATAACGCCACAGGGAGCGAACATGAATCAGCTGCTGAGCCGAAACCGTCGCACTGCTTCACATCTGCCTCATGTTTCAATATACAGTCTGATGCAAATCATTACGGATCTATTCTTGTAACGATTAATCGGATAAATCGGGATTAATCGAGCATCGAAATCGATTAGTCGTCACAATAAGTGATGGAATAAAGTTATTACTAAAATTGCAGAGCTAGTAATACCTCAACTTTGTTTTGTGATGAAAAAAGATGAGTGACCTGTATTCTGTCGTGAAGTCGACCTGAATTCAAAGTCACAATAAATAGAAGCTGCAAAATATGTCAATCAAGATGGCGTCCTGGCATCACTACGGAAACCAAAATGAAATCTTCATAAAACCAAATAATTGATGAAACCGATTGATTGATTGATTGCCCAGCTGCAGCGTTTCAGTTTATCGTCCATGAAGAGTCGTTCTAAGTCCGGCTGATTCTTCACAGATTGGAACAATGAGGAGCAGCAGGACGCGTCCCGGCGGCAGGGCCCTCTCCCCGACCTGCTTCCCCAGAACGAGAACTCGCCCTGGGACTCGCCGCCGCCGCCGCTGGGCGCCGGCGGAGAGGCGGCGCAGCACCTGGACGTCATCCGGGTGGCCAGCCAGCTCAGGATGATAGGGGACCAATTCAACGCCATGATCCTCCACAGAGCGGTAGGCAGAATATGAGCGTAACGTTTCCTTATTGCTCTTGAACGCACCACGGTTGCACTGATTTTTTTCCTTTCATGCAAACAGACAAACATCTCAGCAGGCGAGTTTGTCTCTGCTAAACCTTATAAACAGATTGGTGAGAGTTAATCAGTTTCTTTTGCTCAGTGTTTTATCTTTTATTCCTTGTTTTGTTACACAAAAATCTGTGAAAATGTTTGAATTTCAAAAAGGTGTTTTCAGAGTTTAGAAAGTGCTCAATATTCAAACTGTACAGTTTTCTAATAAAAGGAAAATATTACTTAACGCCTAATAAAAAAATCTGAAATAAATTTTTCTCTCATTGACATTACATTAAATAAATCAGATTTTTTTAGGTCGGTAAGAATATCTATTCTATTTGCTAAGCATCAGAAAACTTAACAGCAATAGGGATTTTTTTTTTACATTTTGTGTTTAAGCTTTTAATTTGAGCAGGAAGGTAATTTACCTTAACATGATTTATTTGAATTGTTTCAATTTTATGAATATTTATAATCACTAAATGGCTCAATGACTTATTAATTACCTTATATTTCAGGAGGATATAACTGAAAACCTATCAAGTGTTTCATATCAGCGGATATCAATAATTATTGATTCATTTGTTTGTTTTAAATATCTAAAATATTGTCAGACTGGTGGTGAAATCTTTCCTCTTTTATCCAGTTTTTACTCCACGTTGCTTTTTTAAACAGTCACTCAGCAGGTTGTTGATAGGAAACCGACCTGGTTGGTAGATTCCACCAACCAGGAGCAGCCAAAGTTTATCCACTGATATTGATTAAGTCTCTGCTGTAATCTATATTTGTATTGATTTGTTGTCATTTTAAACATCAATATGGAAACTGGTGGATTTCCTTTTGTGAAATTAGTGTTTTCTTCACAGACCAATCTGCTATTTTTGGTATTTCAAACATAAAATTTTGTTTTATCTTCGCTTCCTAGAATTTCTATCAAAAGTTCATGAACAACAGTAATAAATTATAGCACACAATAGTGGTTTGAAACTGTCTGTTTGTGGTTATTTTGTACTGTTTTTATCTCTAAAGTCTTGCTGGAGACGTTTGACATCTTGCAGTGAAAATGCTTGAATTGTACAAACCTGGAAAATCTTCACATTTCACATTTGCCTTCCTGTTCTACCTGCTTTGCCTTTGCTATCCCTCTTTCTGTTTTCTTTATTTGCATCATTCTGAGTGACTCCATCCTCCTCGCCAAACAGCAAACAATTAACTTTTGTCACAACAAAGAGCGATTTTTGGCAGGTTTTACGGTGAAAGTCAGTCGCTGCTTTCCCTCCGGCTGCCTGTCTGTTGTTATTTCCTTATCGCTTTCCTCCCTCCCTCTCTTTTCTTGCTGTTTTCGATCGCGTGAGGAGTTGCCGCTCGGCCTCCTCCTCCCGCCTTGTGCACATAAACAAAGCTGACGTCACCCTCGCTCGGCTCTCGCTTCACCCGCCGCACCCGGCTCGCCTCTCTCACTCTGTCTGCCGGGGAAAATAATGAAAACCTGTGTGCAGATCCTTTTCTTTTCTTTTTTTTCTGAACAAGAAAAGAAAGGAGTCTGTTAGCGGAGCGGTCAAACCTGCTCTGCTACCAACTCCTAACCCAGGATCAACCAGCTCATTTTAATGAACCCAAACCCAAACTGGTACGTTTCATAAAGATAAAACTGGTTTCCCTTTCATTTTAGTCAATTTCATAAAAAAGATTGACTGACTGAATGGAAGGTTTAACAAACTATTTCAGAGCGCTACGTTTAATTGGGTTGTTTTGATCAGTTTAGTAAAGATTTTCAGGTCTACTTTCACTGATTTGAAATTCAGCAACATAAAATGATCAGAAATGATCAGCCCTCCACACCAAAGAAATGCAAAGGCAGCTGGTAGTGACACAGTGGCGGTGCTGGGTTTTCATTGGCTGCAGAGTCTGTTAGCCTTTTAGATGACAGCAGTTTTCTGCTAATACGCCAATAGTCGAGTTAATTTTTACTGTTAGAGCTCAAAGTCAGAAGTTTGGTGATGTGTCAGATTTTAATAAAAAGTGGCGGTGTTGGTGAAATTCACCATCTATTTCCTGGTTATCAGGTATATAGCAAGTGAAAAGCTGCTTGCGATAAATTTGTAACGCCGTTCTATTTTGCTAGAATGTGTTTTCTGCAGTCTAACTTTGCGTCTCTCTGTCTCGCAGCACATCGCCCCCCAGTGGCAGGACTGGAGAGAGGTCTGCCGGGGATTCCTGAACTTTATCGCCCAGTCGCTCAGCACTCTCTACCGGCTGACGTAGAGCTGCGATCCGGATCTTTTCCTGCGTTCTGGGCCGAGACGTTCTGTTGCTACCGGGTCGCCGGACCATTAATCGCCTCATGGACCGGACCGGCCTGTCAGAACCGGACCTTTCCACTCAGGTGGCACTGCTGCACACCGCAGCCGCTGGACTGGACGGCTGGACTTCATGTTTATTTTGTAAAATATATACATATTTTTTTGTTTTGGTTCTGTCTGGGGGGGTCCACTTCTTGATGTGGGTCAAACTGTTTTTTGTGGTGCTGAAAAAATTCAAGCTGAAAAACACAAAATGTTACTGAATATTTTATAAATGTCTGAACAAACTAACTGAAGACAAGACTGACTTACAACCTATCGGAACTTATTTTAAGTCAGTAATTCCTCAGTATTGATTTATAAAAAGTACTTGTTCGTCCCTCCGAGGTTTTGTACCAGTCCGCCTGTGAAACAAGCATTTTTTCATCAATATCATGGATTTACTCTGACTTAAAACAAGTTTATTGTAAGTTGGTTTTGTCTTATTTCAACTTTACTTTGATATTTGCAGCTGAAGCTGGATTAAAATACTTGGCAAGATTTTGTGTTTTTGCAGTGTACAGGAGTCATTCGTAGCACGAAGGACCCAAAAACTTGAAGTATTCATTTTAATAAGTTATTCTTAAACAAAGGTTGACATCTCAGAATACACCACCATATAGAGACATTTTTCCATTTTTAAACTACATGTTTAAAACACAAAATCTTATCAAGTATTTTTGATTTTCTTTCTACTTTTGTGGAAATATCTTAGCAGACAAAATTAACTTACAGGGAACCTTTCAGCCAGATGCAGAAGCTTATTTTAAGTGAATAATTCTTTAATATTGATTTAAAAAGTAGAACAAATTTTCATTTATAACATAAAAAATATTTAGTCATAAGTGAAACTAGCACTTTTCATCAATATTAAAGAGTTATTGTCTAAAACAAGCTGCTGAATCTTGCTGAAAAGTTACCTGTAAGTTCATTTTGTCTTATTATATTTGCACTAGAAACTTGGTAATATTTTGTGTTTTTGCAGTGCAGCTGTGAAATCAGCCGTCATAAGCATTGCATTTCCCTTTAACTGCACCGTTTTCGACTCTGCAACCCATGTTCCCACTTTAAAAATCAAAGAAACTGTGAAACGCCGAGGTTGCATTTGCAGGGAATTTTTGGGTGCAAATCCGCTTTGGGGCGAAGCTGCTTCTCTTCGCCACTTCCACGTGCCTTCCTGCCTCCAGGTTCGCCTCCGACGCGACGACGGGCGCCGTTGTTTTGAGTCTCAGCGCTCGAGAGCCATTTGCATTAAATTAAAATGTCCTGCAACTGGCAGAACTTGTTTACAGTGTTCATAGTCCCTCAATTTACTGTAAATAGTTTATTTTGAAGATGAATTTAAGTTATCCAAGAAGCGGATGGCATTAAGATGACCTGTTTTGTTGTTGTTTTTTATTCCCAGGTGGATTTGAGAAGGTATTTAACGAGCAGCAGGAAGAAAATTTGAATTCTCATCAACATGACCCCAGTTTTGTTCCTGTTTTCTACTGCATGATTATTTTGATTGAAGCAGAAGAGAAAACGTGTAATTTATTTTGGAAAAATCTGTAGCATTTTTATTTGTTTTCTATGACGATGTATTTATTTTTCTACCAACTGAGACTCAAAATGTTTGAGTTGCTGTCGCACACACTGGCGATGGAGAAATCACTTTAATATTTGGAAAATTAGTTGCACAAAAATAAAAGGACAGAGAGAAAAGCCTTGACATTGGGACGTTGCAGCTTTGAAAGGTACTGGGAGAAATCAGGCGTCGCAGCTTCAAAAGTGAATCAGGGTTTGCTGTAAGTTGGACTTTCCGGTTCTGAACGGGTTAAAAAGTTTCATGTCTGTACTGTAGCGTACGCCACGTAGCAGATTCACGTTTACTGGAATATTTAAACTTTTGATTCAGGAATTTCCATCGTTTCTCCTCGTTTGTTGGGTTTTTTAGATGTGGACCAAGCCTGCTCTTTTCCCCAAATCAGATTTCATCATTAGAGAGAGAAAAGAAAATGAGCACTTCTTGATTTGATGCCGTTTATCCAGCAGTGGAACAAACAAAGTTGTATTTTGCCGTTTTTCAGCTTTTTTCTATTGTAAAATTTCTACATGAATTTTGTACTTTTTCTTTTTTTATATAATAAAGATAAGAATTTAAAAACATCTTGTTTGGTGTTTTACTTTTAATCATTTAAGGAGGGAATGTTACATCCAGTCTGTTTGTAAAGCACATTTCAGCAACAATGCAGCTCAAAATACTTTACATCAAAAAACATAAAACTAACCAATTATGAAACGAGGAGTAAATATGACATGTTGTCAAACGCTGTCATTAAAAATAATCCAATATGCTGTTGTTCATGTTATGCACCATCATCTCGGAGCGTCCAGAGTTAGTTACGTTGTAGTCCACTTCCTGCTTTTGGAGCGGTCCCTGGTCCGCTTGGCATTCACATAAACATTCAAATCGAACCAGAGTTCACTTCAACTCCACCAAGATCAAGATTCCTAGGCAGACCAGAGTTAGCTTCTTTGGTCCGACATGCACAACTCCCCAAACGTGTCTGACTGTTTACATCAATGGGCTGGAGTTTGATTAGGCCGCTTTAGGCCATTTTAATCTCGATGTGTCTAGAAAGTCCAGTAAGTTTGGGGAGGCGTGAATACGCCGTCAAACTCTGCTCCACTGAAAGTCTCTGTCTCGGTTCGGCTGAAGTGAACTCTGGTGTGGACGCCAAGCGGATTTGAGACCACTCCGAAAGCAGGAAGTGGACCACAGCGCACGGCATTCTGGGTGAATACAACCAAATGAGTGAAGGCTCATGTTTTACAGCCAAAGACAAAAGAGAAATCCTACAAACAGTCAAATCTGACGCTACTCCATTTTTGTTCACATTTTGTGAAGTTGCTCAAGGTTTCTGTGCCGTTTTCTTCAGCGGTTCTTGCTGCAGCGCCCCCTCAGGTGAGGAGGGGAACATGTTGCTCAATTAGTTTGAATTGTTTGTGAGAAAGCGAACCATAGCAGCTGGAGATGTAACAAATGTTGCCATTTTGGTTGCCAACAGGTGGAAAAACACCTTTATTGGTGCTCAGTTATAAAACACACAATCTGGGTCCATGTTTACTCCCAAGAACCAAGACAAGACCTGAAATAAAACTGGTGCAGCGATTAGTCAGTTCGGAGCACCGGTGCTGTTTTCCTGGGATTAGGAAAGGAGATTAATGGCAAAATGCCTCTTTAAGCTCATCCTGCCTGCTTAATTACACCGAAACTCTTCTCTGCTAGGAGACAAACTCATTCAGGCCACATTAAACTTCAGGTTGCTTTAATTCAACCCAAGTCTCTTAGAATAGCCTCTGTTTCTGTTGTTTTCCAGTTTTTATTTCCTCTCCTGTGACTTTAATCCAATCACTCTCTCTTCCCGCTGCAGCCAATCAGGTCGCTGGCTCTGCCCCGGGCAGACGTGTGATTGGCTGGTTCTGAGGTTTAACTGGGGATACTGGCTCCCAGAGCTGCCTGTTGACTCAGTAACAGGACCAGTGGATGAATCACAAAGAAGAAATAAAAACTGGAGAACCCTGTTTACAACCTGAAACAATCGCTTTTTTCTAAAAATGTTACATCTACAATTTGTACTTTGCTGCGTTTTCCGGCCTCAGCAGAATATTGTTTGTTTTTAGAGAAATAAATATTAAGCTGGTTTTATTAGACAGGAATTGAAGTGAGCAGGAGCAGAGGCCAAGTCTGTCCTCATGTTAACACAGATAACATTAAAAAGCCCCTTTTGTGTGTTTTATCAACCACAGACAAACCTCTGAGATGGAAAGTAAATAACAAAACTTTCCTAAGAGCAAAGCTCTGAGCCAATCAGATGAGCATGAGTAATGGAAAAACTATCTTCGCTTTTAACCATAAACCTTTACTCTTCTTTCTCAGGTTTAAAATACACGATGCTTTGTACCGTTTTATTCTTTGCACTTTTTTTGCAATAAAATCAAAAAGGATCAAGTTAAAAGTGTTGCAATAGAGTTAAAGAAATACATGTTTTGTGTAAAAGTGTAATATTTCTCACCAGTCATGTCAGAAAGTGAAGCAGCCGTTTTATAAAGATTTACGCTGCATTTTTACCAAGTGTTTCTGATCCGGTTTCTAATGCAAACCTCTCAGTTTACTTGAAATAGGACAAAACTGATACCTGAAGTTGCTGAAAGTAACTTTTCAGCCAGATATGTGAGTTTGTTTTATGTAAATAAAAAGTGGATTACAGACATTTTGACTTATAAAACGGGTTTCATGAAAACGTAACGTTTCATGAGGCCAGTCTCATGGTGACCGGACCGAAAGACGTCAAAGCTTTTTCTCCATACTTCATCAAACTGTAACGGAGAATCATTTTGGCAGGCAGATGCTGTGGAGTCGAGTTGCCTTGAGTCGTCTCTGCGTTTCTTATGTTTGGGCATGTTGTATTTGGAGGACCCTCTTATTTTTTTAGTTTTCAGTCACTGCAACTTTTTTTTTTTTGGGTAAATGAAGACACTTTAATGCAAAGACGGCACTTTTAATTGACTTTTAATGCAACTATAAAAGCAACTTTGTATTAAAAGGGTCATTATTTACCTACACTTCATGACAACAATCACAAACACTCAAAGATTTCATTTTCATAACCGGCGTTACGTCATGTTTATCGGTGTAACGTCAGTTTTATGCACAACCCTCCAAAAACTGTTACTGACTAAACTAACTCACAAAACGTAGCTCCTTTTATCGGAGTCAATGATTTCTGATTGTATTGGTGAAAAAGTTCTGGTTCCTCTGGTAGAACCGCGGGCCGTCACCTAGCAACCGCGGGCCGTCACCTAGCAACCGCGGGCCGTCACCTAGCAACCGCGGGCCGTCACCTAGCAACCCGGTTGTGATTCCACAGGCAGTTTGTTTCACTGATGGGAAAAAATGTTTTGTTGTTGGTGAAATAATTTGCCAATAGAACCAGCAGTTTTTCCACCAATATTAAGAAATGATTTGCTTAAAACAAGACCCTGCTGAAAAGTTTATTAGTTTTGTCGTCTTTCATGTACACTAAAGGCATTTGTGCAATAAAATTACCTGGCAAGATTTCCTGTTTTTGCAGTGTAGTCTTAAAAGTGGAGAGGGCGTCCGCCTCACAGACTCAAACTGGGACTTCCCGTTCTAACTTTAGAATTTCTACTGACCAAGACTTTATTAGATTTAGCTGTCTAATAATGAGCACTGGGCACTGAAACGCTCAGATCTGCACAGTGTGATATGAAGGGCAGTGGTGATCTTCAGTTTGTTTTGGAGTAATTTAGTCATGTGGTAAACAGCAGAGCTACGTCAACATGGTAGCACTCAGCGTCCCGGAGTTCATCTGCAACAACATGAGTGTCATTTTTTCCGTTCAGGCTCACGTTGTCGGGTCAAAACAGGTTGAACTACCCAGGGGCCAAGGTGGGACCGCCGAGTTGAGACAATAGGAAACACTTCGCCCCACCCTGCAGGACCATGCACTGCAAAAACGCAAAACCTTAAAGTCATTTTTCTCTGGTTTCTTTAAAACAAGACAAAACTGACTTCAGGAAATATGAGCTTGTTTTACGTAAATAATTCTTTAATATTCATGGAAAACCGCTCGTTCTTCTGGCAGATAATATTTTTCCCATCAGTGAAATAATTAGCCAGTGGAGCTAGCAATTGAGTTGCTAGGTAACGGGCTGGGCTTGGATGGGGTTGCTAGGTAACGGCGCAGCGGCGTATGCTACCAGCTAACTAGCATTTTTTTGTTTCCATCAGTATTGAGGAAATATGAGCTCAACACAAACTCCTATAACTTGCTGAAAAGTTACTTGTTAGTTAGTTTTGTCTTTTTTCAAGTACATCAAGACATTAGCGCAAGAAACTCAACCAAAAACACATGGAAAACAAAAACATTGCTATTGTACCACCAAATATTTCTAATATCTTAATACATCTGAAATAAGACAAAGCTAATAAGTGATGAGCTCAATAATTCCATAATATGGACGAAAAATCATCTTCTGCAAATTATTTCACTTGGAGACATTTTTCTCATGTTTCAAGTAAAATAGTCTCCCAGTAATACTTTATTTACTTGAAACAAGTTCCTGTCTTCCCAAGAGTTACTTATAGTTTTGCCTTATTTCAAGTGTATTAAGATATTTTCACTAGTCTAGATAAAAACACATTGTTAGTTTATTTCTACCAGATTCATCACTGATCAAGAAGTGACACAAACTAACAAACAAATGCAATCAGAGGTCGAGTAGCTTGTATATCCGCCTTTATTGGTCACTCTATGTTTAAATTCTGCAGCTTTTCAAGAAAGCTGAGGTCTGAACTTTGACTAGGCCATTGGTCTGTTCGGTTTTCTATTAGAAATGCTGTTGTGATTTATGGTAAAATTGTTTCCTTTGGTTTCGTCCAGAAGTCTCGTGATCAAATGATTTAAAAACAACGTATTTCAATTTTTTCACAGAGGTTCTCACAACTACTAACGATAAAGTATTAAATTAGACAAAAACAAACAGATTTCTTTACATCGTTTTATTAGCAAATGTAAAAAACACAACACCTGTGACAAGAAAAAGAAAACTGCTCAACTTATTTTGTGTTCATGGTGCAGATGACGGCGTCCAGGCGGGAAAATGAACCTGGTGTGTGGAGTTTTGGGTTTGGGTTAAAACCGTTCCGAGGTCAAAGGTCAGTTCGGTCCAAAGTAGTCGACCATGCCGTTGCCTTTACGACCGTCGAAGAAGAAGAAGTTACGATGAGGAGCGTCTCTTTGGGAAAGAGCCTGCAGAGAGAGACGGCAGCACGGATTTATTTTTTATTACTTAGGATAACTTTTATGAATAAAAATCACAAAATGTTTCATGTTTTCCTTTCATGTTTAGGAGTTAAAATATAAGGTTTACAGGAAAATATAACTTGATAACTATGTGTTATTGGAAGGTTAATATCTGAACACCAGCTCTAAAGTCTTAAAAAATGCAAACATTAAAAAAAAAAGAATAAATAAGCAACGCTAAGTTAAGTATAATTCACTGGGGAAACGTTGTATCATGACTCATAAAATAATTCTTATAAAATTACAATTTCTCATAATAAGACTTTATTCTCGTAATACTTTTACATTTTTTCTAAGTATGGACCTAACACTCCATCGTAAAAACAAAAAACTGCAAAGGAACATTAAATCTAATTAACGAAAACACAAAAAATTAACAAAAACATTGAAAAATTATAGAAAACATTACTAGATGTTGCCCGTTTCGGTTTGTGCAGGGCGTTTGTGAGCAATGTTGTTAAGTACTGATCCCTTCACCTGAAACATCGTTTCTCACCTTGACCACTTCCTGTCCCAGAACTCCTCCCATTTCTCACCTTGACCACTTCCTGTCCCAGAACTCCTCCCATTTCTCACCTTGACCACTTCCTGCCCCAGAACTCCTCCCATTTCTCACCTTGACCACTTCCTGTCCCAGAACTCCTCCCATTTCTCACCTTGACCTTCCTGTCCCAGAACTCCTCCCATTTCTCACCTTGACCACTTCCTGTCCCAGAACTCCTCCCATTTCTCACCTTGACCACTTCCTGTCCCAGAACTCCTCCCATTTCTCACCTTGACCACTTCCTGTCCCAGAACTCCTCCCATTTCTCACCTTGACCACTTCCTGTCCCAGAACTCCTCCCATTTCTCACCTTGACCACTTCCTGCCCCAGAACTCCTCCCATTTCTCACCTTGACCACTTCCTGCCCCAGAACTCCTCCCACGACGGCGCAAACCGGAGACGTCTCTGAGAAACAGTAGCTGAAGACAAACAGAGCAGCAACGAATTCAGGCTGGACTTCAGGCAAAAAACTGAATTTCAAAATATCCTGTTTTTTCCAATATTTATGTACAACTTTATTCTTGCAATACGACTTTATTCCTGTAATATTTAAAAACAATTTCTTACTATGGCCCTAATACTCTGCGGTAAAATCAGAAAACAGCAAATGAACATGAATCTGATTCTAGCAAAGACTTGAAACATGGAAGAGCGTAGAAAACGATCCTAGATGTTGTCCCTGTGAGACGGAAGCCACCTGATGAAGTCGTCGGCGAGCAGGTCGCCGCTCAGCCCCATGGCCTCCAGGACGTCGTCTCTGATCTGCTTCAGCAGCCGGCTGTCCTCCGCACACGCCTGGGGGTCGGGGTCGCGACCTTTGTCTGTGCGGAACTTCAGCAGAACTGTGAACGGACAGAATACAGGAAACAAGCAGCGGGTCAGAACCCGGAAACTCAAGTTTCAACCATCTGACGGACTAAAGCAGGGGTGTCCAAAGTGCGGCCCGGGGGCCATGTGAGGCCTTTCCTCTGATTTTCTGCGGCCGCCAACTGCAAAACTTTATTTTGTTCATCTCAAGCTGTTGTAAATGTTCTATATAAATAAACTTATAAATATAAAACAAAATTGTTCTTTGGGATCGATAAAGTAGTTTTGTTTTCTTATAACCAAGTTTAAACAAAACGTAAAACCAAGTTTATCCAGAGTCTTTTACTGGAAACCAACTTTTGCTGCATCCAAATCAGCTTTTAGTTTTTCGTAAACTTAGCTAAAAACAGCAAACATTTTGAAACAAAGTGACCCAAATCATGTTCTTACTACTGAAAATAAATTTATTTAATCGAGGAAAAGAAACTGAAAACGAGGCGTCTTTCTTTTAATTCCACGGATTCGACCCATGTGACAAAAGGTTTGGACGAAGACGATGTTTTCCAGATAACCTGTTGCTCTTTGTAGTTTCATCACGCCGTTGAATTATCATTGCGTGGAAATTCGCTGCTGCTCCCTTTGAGAGAAGATAAGAATCTGAATGCGGTTGCACCATCGACCATTTCATCCGATTTGGCCCACGTTTCCCCCACATCAAATTAACAGCATGTTCCTGCTGAGACAAACGCCCCTGCTGCACAAATTCAGGAAGGAAGTGTTAGTTCATCCTCTGACGGATTAAAAAAAAAAAAGAGAGAAAGAAAGAAATCTGAATTGTGCGCTTTATGAGCAATATTTCAGACGGCTCGGTGTGCGCAGACATCAGCACCTCGCCCACATGTTTCCGGCTCGTCCATTAAGTTCAACCACATGAGGATGTGGAGTCCTCCCACGGCCATTTCCACCACACACACACACACACACACACACACACACACACACACACACACACACACACACACACACACACACACACACACACACACACACACACACACACACACACACACACACACACACACACACACACACACACAAGTGGCAATGAATCATTTTCACACCTCTGTTCTGCCCTTTTATGAGAAACTCTACAAAAAGAAAGTTAAAAGTCTGGCACGAATGGCATCACATTCAGCTTTGACAGGAAATCAAATACAATTTCATAACACAATATAATATCATCAGCACAGGTGGAAATATGATTGTATCTCTCAGCCCACACGAGGAGCAGCGACACAGATAAAACTGGATCTCAGGACGAAACCGACAACAAAAAGAAAATCATCCCGCTGGCTCCATTTACAGCTCGGATCAAATGATTTCAAATTGAAATCAAAAATACTTTATTGATCCCAAAGGGAAATTAAATGCTGTTCTTACTCATTAATTCAAAATTTTCAAAGAGTTATTGTAGAATTTTAATTCTACACTGTCTAAAAAAGAAAACCTTTAGCATTTGGGTCATTTTGGAAAAAAGAGGCTGAATACCAGAAAAAAAAGATTTTATTTCTTATTCTATGGCTTTGTAAGCTTCTAATGTGATGTTATTTCACAACATCTGGAATTAAATGGAGCCTCAAGATACAACACTGTGACTATCACAATAAAAGCGTCTGAAATAGTGTCAATCAGGCAGTGAGACGTTTCCGGTTTCATCCAGTTTTCACTTCACTACGTTGTTTTTTTAAGCCTTTGCTCCAGTTACTCTTCAGGCTCTTGCTAGGCGACCAAACGTCCGCCGGACATGTCCGCGCAAGGACAGGGTTTCATAGCGTACCCGGTGTCGCACAGTACACCGCCCGGAGGAAACAGTTTCACATCGAACTGGTTTCCATGTGACACCAGGCTGATGAGGATGAGGGTTTCATGAGTTCATGTTGTTTCAAAGTTGACATCAACATGATGACAGTCAACATAAAGTTGCCACGGGGACGTGACAGACATGCAAGCGAAAACGCTTAACGGCAACAGGCTTCATATATTCATATAGGCTTTATAAGTACTGACATGGTGAATTATGCAGCAGTATAACGAGGCATCATCCCAGACTCTATCAGCAGCGATAAGTTGAGTCTGACTTTTGTTTTTCCTCGAACAACGGCAAGGAAAGGATGATCGGGTACGTCCTCATGTTCAATGGCTGCACAAATTATTACACCGATCACAATTGTGCTTTTGGAACATAATAAGCAGAGCTTATTGAATGGATCCCTGATTACAAAGTGGAATTATTGAATTTTCCACCAGATGTAATGATATGTAATCACGTGTCTATTGCGATTGACGTATTGTCCAGCCCCATGTGAACCTCCACAAAACTGGCTAAATGTTTGGAAATTAAAGTTTATTGATTTTTGATAGGATGCTCTTGTATTATTATATAATTTTTATTATATTAGTTTTAATATAATTTTACTGTTTATCACAGTAGTTTCTGGGAAAAATGTGTTATTGTGACAGGCCAACTTAAATCAAGTTATTTAACAAAAAAACCTAAACATTATGCAATACAAATCCAAATTCTGAATTTATATCAATAGTTTGTTATGAAAAAAGCACTGGAAGAATAGCAGGTTGTGGGTCATTTCATGTTGGAATTAAGACTGGATTGAAATCAAATGTCTCCTTTTTTACTTCTGGCTCAAGAGAAATTTGAATTTTCTCCTCCTGGTCAGCCAATCAGAGACTCTTTAAGCTGCAGGATAGCAAATAAAAATGAACAAAAACTGTATTTAAAAAAAAAAAAAGAGAAATCAGACTAATTAAAAAAAAAAAAGCCTAAAGCGCACGCACACACCCAGCGTGCGGCTCAGATCAGCCGACTGTTCCTAGTGAGACAGGAAACAGTTACAACAGAGGAAGAGCCACTTCCTCATTGGTCGCCCAAAACAACAACTGCTTGCTCCAATTATAGAAACAGAGAAGGAATAATAACAGCACTTCCTGTCTCCCCTCCACTAAATAACAACAACAACTCATGTTTCCACTGCTGAAGACTCCTCTGAGGTGCAGTGATGTGAAAACAGGGCGAGGCGCCAAATGTAGGTGGATTTCATCAAACTTTAGGTGTTAAAACTTTAAATTTAATCCAAAGTGATCCAGATAAAATAATTACCTGAGAGCTGAGATAACTTAATGTTTTAGTTTCATTCAGTTTTTACATTCAATTCTTTCTATAAAGCAGAAGAAATTCTAACAAATAATGTCGCAGAATCTATGGTTGGGCCTGTACAATAAATTTTGCTGGATGATGAATTGTCCCAGAAGTTATCGCGATAAACGATAATATTGTCCATCTTCAAGCATCAATAAACTTTAAATTCTAACTGGAAGACATTTTAAATATCCAAAATAAATAAAGAAAACAACAGAAATGATAAATAATATGAGTTATGAAGTCTCTGGAGTTTTTAAGTGCAGAATTTAAAGAGGTCAAAGTATCGTGATTATGTAAACATCGATTAGGTAATGAATGTTCAACAGAAAATAACATTTTCATTAAATGTATTAAATTACTGTTTAACAGCCAACTGACTGGTGTTCTCCCCCAAACTTTGTCACCTTTTTTCTGCTGGACGGCCAAAAGCTGCTCGCCAATAATGGCTTCCATTGCTTGGCTTTCAGCAGCCAAGTTGTTGACATAATGCGTTAAATCCTAAACAAACGCCTAAAAGGCCAGCAATCATCAACACTACAACAACTAGAGAACAAGGTCAAGAAAAAGTTTGACTTAAGAACGGAAATAGTGAGGGAGAGGGAAGTAGGTCAGTTATGCTAGCTTGACTATGACAACTTAACATGTAGATGAGCTGTGGAATTCAGTGCGTTTCAGATCAGTAAAAAAATTAAATAGACACGATCCACAAAAATGAAATTTTGGTTAAAATGTTTTCTCAGATTGAATTTTTGTTATTTTCCACAAAATCAATATTTTTGATTAGGAAACGAAAAAACACATTTGTCTTTTAGTTGCATTAAGGAGGGAAAAAAGGCCTGAGATTATTTGTGAAATGACCATTATCCTGAGAAGATATGAGTTTAACTCCAGCTCCAGTCGAGGTTTACTACAGCGTGGGAGTCGGGCTGCGCTACGCTCAGTGCACATGACTGGCCATGGACGGCCTGTGATGGAAACTGGCGCGTTGACGCCGCGAGCGCCAGGTGACGAGGGAGACAAGAACAAGAAAAACAGGAAGATAAAAGATGCAACTCTGTCAAAAACATCCAGAAACTGCAAACGTGATTATTTATCAGTGCAAACAGTCTTTCTTCTGAGAAACGCTGATTCAAATGTGAGGCTTTCTCCTCAAAGCTGAAATGATAATCAACAAACTGTCTGGATAAGTCGGAGTGGAACAAAGATTTTGGCATCATGGCTGCTGGAGAGTCACCCACATTTTCAGTTTCAGTTTTCGGTACTTTCTTTAGACCCTCCTGTCGTCCTTGCTGACATTTAAACTCTTCCTCTTTTACGTATGAATGAATATCAGCTAAGAAAAAACCCTGTCATTTCATATTTTACAATGGAAATCGCATTCCTCCATGCATCACATTTTCCACAATATGAGGTCAAGGTTCAGGAAAAGAGGAGCTTCACTTCGGTTTTGGGCAAAGAAATTAACCCAAGAAATTGCAAATTACAACTTGTAATTTGCAATAAGGCAAATTACAGGTTGTGATTTTAATCTAAAGTCTAATAAATATAAGAAATTATATTATATACAGTACCATGAAGCAGGAAGTAGTCAACAGGTGTTCGCTTCAGGCTGGCCTTGGCCTTCTCGCTGGTCCAGTCAACCTCCAGCGCCGCCTTCAGCGAGCAGAAACTGGCCGTCTGATTGACCAGAAATAACAACACATTATTTTAACTGAATTAAAAAAATAAAAAATAAGAAATGTACAAAATGCCTGAAAAAAATCCTAATCAGAGCAGTTTTAGCAAGAAGTACATTGATTACAAGAATCAATCTCTGGCTAAACTGATGCCTGTAAAAACATTTACATATAGCAAACAAATCAGATTAAAGCTTTCATTACTGTCATAAACAAAAAAGAACATTGTTTTTGACATAAAAATAACAATTTTCTAAACCATCACCACCGGGAAAAGATCAAATGTGATTTGTATGGCACCTTTTTCACCATGGTGGTCTCATTCGGGTCGACTTTAGCTTTCTTTGCTTCTGGACCGTCGCTGGAATCGGAGGACGGCTTCACTACTTTGGGTTTCTCCCTGAAACAAAAACAGTTTCTTCATTTTTAACAGGAGATGGAAGACGACAACATTTCAAAAATAAAAGCTTAAAAAGAAATAAAACTAACTCTTCACCTGAACTGCTGGATGACAAAATATACATGTTGTTTAGTGACGATAAACAATTTTTTATTGTGAAGTATAAAAAAAAAATTCTGAAAATTTTTTTAATAAGATAAACATTTTAATAATCATTAATAAGTTATTATTAATAATATAATAATATTTAAATAAAAATAAAATATTAAATCTAGTTAGTGTTATTGTTAATAGCAGTAAAGAAATAAAATTATAGAACATAAATAATATTAGTATTGCTATTAGAAATAAGCAAGAATGAGTAATATTACTTATATAAGTACTATTAATAATAAAACTATAGCAATAAATAATGACAAATGATGAGAATAAATAGGAAACATTAAAAATGCCATTTTAGAAAAACGTAAATTTAGAAAAAAACGGATTATTTTTCAATGAGTAATCAGTAAAAGTTTGCAAATTTTCCCTAATTGGTAAATATTCTGAAAATAAAAAGTTGATTTTTTTAAATTTCCAGTGTTTTTAACACATCGTTAACATCCGGCGAGAATCATCACGTTGTCATAAAATGTTCGATATTTTTCGACAATCGTCGCCCAGGTGAGTTCAGGTGAGTTCAGGTGAATTGAGGTGAGTTGAGGTGAGTTCAGGTGAATTGAGGTGAGTTCAGGTGAGTTCAGGTGAACTCACTCCACATAGTTGTGCTCCTGTCCCAGGTTACAGAACATGTAGCCATAGTAACCGTAGACGTCGCCACAGAACACCTTGATGTTGTTCTGGGAGCAGAGCTGGTCGACTCGCACCATCAGGTCTCTGGAGCAACCTGTGAGACACACCTGGGGAGAGAAGCAGCTGATTGGACCAGGAAAGATGAGATTAAAATCCTGAGATGTTTGATTTATTATGCATTTTATCCTAATAGTAGATGTTCAGAATAAACTGTCAATCATCTCTTTTGACCAAGTTCAGTCCACACAAATTTTAGCTCAACATAAATGCATCAAGGAAAAAGCCTCAACAGACAATGTGCTCAGCAAACGTCTCAGAAAATGGGGATCAGAGGATGAGGTGCTGGAGGTTCCATCATGGGAGGACAAGCCTCTACATGGGATGTCCTACCGACAAATAACTGAAGAGGCCGAAATCAAGAAATCCTACCAATGGCTGGACTCAAGGTCAGAACAGAGGCCCTCGTCCTGGCTTCACAGGAACATCAGAGCAACAGAGGCTCAGATCTTCCACACCAGACAAATGTTTTAAATAAGTGTGACCCCCAAACTGGAGCAGAGGCTCAAACAGATTCCAGGAACAACATCAGACGTCCCAGAAATGTCTGGTTCTACGCACAGCCCAGATACTGGATCCCAGCCCAGATACTGGAACCCAGCCCAGATAGCGCGCAGATCCCTCAGGATCCCAGGCCAGGGAATTTTTTTATACATATGAAAAGTTTAAAATAAAAAATCTGACTAAAACATCAAAATGCATAAAAATATACTCAAACGGTTGACAATTAAAATTTTATTAAAAATAATTTTAACACGTTCAAGTTAAAAGTGAAAACAGAAAATAAATAACATTTAAAAATATTAAAAGCACAAAAATATACCTGAACAAACGGTTTAGAATTATAAACAAAATTTCAAAATGTTAATTTAAAAAAACCTAAATGAAATAAATTAAAAGTTGAAAATAAAAAATTTTAAAGTAAAAAATAAAAATTCTAGTTGTTGAAAATTAAACAGTTATCAACAGTTTAGCTGAAAACAATTGATTTTTTTTGTATTTTTTATTTTATTAAATTAACATTAAAGTTACAAAATAAAATAAACAAAAAAATGTAAAATACAATTAAAGCTAAAAATTATAATTGATAAAAATAAAATGTATACAATTTATACATAAATAAATTGTGTATAAATTTTATACATAAATAAAATAATTTAAATTCTTAAAGTGTAAAAAATCTATCTTTCCTATGGTCTCAATTTATTCTGGAAACTTCAGGGTCGAGTTTAAAAACTGGATATAATCCATTTATAGACTAAAAGCAACAACAAAACACAACTGGTGGTTAGAAGAGCAGAGCTGGAAACGACTCCATGATAAATCTAACAGTTTCACATCAAGGCTGCTGCAGACTGTAAACAGCTGATAAGAACCATGCTGGTTCTGGAGAACCCGTCGGGTCCAGATAGTCTGTGGTTCAGGAGCTCGGAGGCTTTTCCACTTCAGTGACGGCAAAAATGGTCTGAAATTATTTATATTTAACATTAAGTTTATAAAAAGTTATTTATATACAGTTATTGTTTCTACAACACAAATGGAGCCAGAATTGAAGAAATCTTTGTTCTGTCTGCTTTCTATAAATGAGCAAAATTGAATATTTGTGGTCAAAATTTAAGTTTTTAGTCTTTTGTGCTCAGATTTAATCCCAGTTTTCATTCCTTATGATGTTAAGTTACTGTTTTTTATAGTAACTCAATATCTGAAGCTACATGTCACACAATTTGACATGCTAAGTCAAAGTGCGGTCCGCTGGCTCCTAGAACCTGGAGTATATTGGTGAACAAGTATTGCACTTTAAGCAATTCTGTATAATATGAATACTGAACAAAGGCAATGATGACATATATATATGTATATATATATATATACTGTATATTGTGCAGCCTCAGTTACAACATCATTTAATTTCCCGTTTTGGATAAATAAAGTATTTGTGAATTGTTTCAATTAAAGCAGAAATGTTTTATGCAGCCAAATAGAATAAAAATAAACACCAATGATTCATACTTTTGTTGCAACAACAGAGAGAAAAATACAAGTAATAATTTGATAGTTCTCTGCCTCAGGAAGATTGGATTTGATAACAATTAAATATAAATAAAATTGTTACTTGACATGTTTTCTTTATTTATTTTTTATTTGTGACTTTCTGGCCTGGATTTTAAGCTTAAAATAGAAGAAGAGCTCCACCAACCTCTGGTGAAAATTATTACAAGTTCAGGTTTTTAGGCACAATATGGACTAACACCAACATCTAGTGGTCAACCTGAGTGCTGCAAGACAAGATGGATCCTCTGGTTGATTCAGTGTTATCTGTTATTTGGTTTGAAATAATATTCCACCTTCCCGGTTCATGTCAGACCAACTCCATCCACCTTCTGCGCTCACTCACCGCGTCAAACTGTAGGAAGAAGTCGTCTGGCTTGTCTTCCACTCTGTCTGGGTCGGCGTGCACCTCCACCATCGGGTTGAGGTTCTGGGCTCGCTCCAAGGACGCCTGAGCCCGATTCTGACCCTGAGCTGACACCGGAACCAGAAACTGGGCTCGACATGACTCCTCCGAAACCTTTGGAAGATTCGCGCACAGGCAGCACTTACAGTGGCTTGTTCTGCCAACTTTACAGCTTAATTCAAACTAGAGATTAATTACTTTCCTGAATGACAAAACCAAGAGAGGCTTTCTGTTCTTTCAAATTTCCACAAAAATATATTATTTAGTCACTTTTGCTAAGAATTATTTTGCAATCTATCATCTGGCAGTACTGCAAATCTAAAGGTTTGACCCATAACAAGTGAAAATCATTGATAATTGCTAAGAAAAACTTCCAGATTTGCATCTTTTTTTTGCTCTAATGACTCACTGAGAGGCTGACTTCAAGGTTAGCATTTTCATACCTGTTTGTGATCCAGTAAAGTGAGTCCTTTAACCCCAGCAAGGATCAGGTTTTTAGCCAGTTCAGCTCCAAGACCTCCGACCCCTGCCAGCAGCACCCGGGACCCTCGCAGCCTGATCCATCAACAAAGAATGAATGAAAACACAAAGAATGTCAGGTTACTGGAAAATATGTGTAATCGCTGAATAGACTGGACAGTTCTCATGTAACAAAATTGTATTATTCACTATATATAACAAACCATAAGATAAAAGTTTTACTTAATTTTAAATAAACTATAATAAAAAATGATGTAGAAAATAAATGTGTTTATTAAACATTTATTTTCTTTGAATCAAAACTCTTCTGTTTTTGGGATTATAACATCATTCATAGTAATAGAGAAAAGGGGAGCATACAAAAAAGAAAAAAAAAACATTTTCTATGTATAAAAAATGAATAATTATTATTTACCAGATGAAATTAATTAAAAACGTCAAAATAATTACATATTTTCAATAAAAAAAAAACAGGACTAGAACAAACTCCTAAGTTATTCATTACACACTTACAATAATAAATAATTTATCTCTTCTGATAAATTCCTACACAAAGAGGCTCAAATTAGCAGCAATAGATGAAAAGACCAAGAGAAACCTTCCGCTGCTTTGATTAGCCTCCAGAGCTAACCATGCTAGCTCACCTCTTCTGGGCATCCAGCCCCCACAACCGAATCTGGCGGTCATACTGCGCCGCTTCCTCCTCACTGATTACCGGGTCCTCTTTCTCGATCATACCAACCGTTCTGCGTCACTGAAAAAGATTAAATTGACTTAGAAAATGAACTTTCTTTGCAGCAATATAGGTGAACGGTTCAAAAGGCTGCGAGTGTCCCGCTGAATGGACGCTTAATAGTGACGTCAGCAGACAGAGACAATGACGTTCTTCTTTTTTTTCGTAACTGGAAAACCACCTCAGGGTTCGTTGCTGCCACCTTCTGGTTTGAAACAATAACTTCGTTATGTGGCAGCGCTATCGTATTTTTTTCTTCGTTTTCTTTCCATTTTACTTCCTTTCTGGAGATGTTTTTAGCTTCTAGATTTTACAAACGGGGTATTTAAAGGATTTATTTTAAATTGTATTCTGCTCTAAGTTTTTTTGTGATTTTAACCTGTATTTGTTCTAATATGGCAAGCTCCTTTAATCTGTTCTCGATATTGGTAAAGAAAATAAATACATCGTCAATTACATAATTTACCCTTGTATGCAAAGTAGGTTAAATTGTCATTTAATACGGATATCTTTGTTTCTTCTTCGGAAGCGAAAGGTTTTTTTTCCCCTCGGTGTTGTCTTTCAGGAAAAGTCAAAAGACCGGCGTACACAGAGTCGAATAACGCACATCTATCTTTCTTGTTTTCCTAATGACCCATAAATATAATCTTTTTATGATTGGGCATATTTTCTCATAGACTTTACTGGGCGGTTGTGTGCATTTATGCAGACATATGTTTAACATAATTTCAAATTTTCATTTGTAATCAATTACTTTATTTTAGTGAAATTAGTTTAGCAATTTTGCATGATAGATTTTCATTTTAAGTTGTTAAAAATAAAAATAAACATGTATATAGTCTTTAATTAATATGTACGGGCAAATCCAAAATAAATTAATTTAAAACAAAATTATGCGTACAAAAAGAGCATATATCATATTTTAAAAAATGATTTGAAAGATTTTTTAAATTATTTTTTTCAATATTTTTGATCTGTTTTGAAGAAAACGTAATGTGGTTAAGAATATAAATAACTGAAATAAAAAATAGACCGACATAATCCGTGGCCTAGTATTTTTATGTTTATGTTCAATGAAGACTTTTTAAAAAAAATTTTGATACATTTCTGTATCTACAATAACAATCATTTAAATTTTGCACAAAGAGAACAGTTGCGATGCATGCCTGCGAGTCAGACTCAGGGTTTACTTCACTCGCTAAGTTTGTCTTTCGGTAACATCCGTGAATGTGCGTACGTCATTCTCGGAAAACTCCGCCCCTTTCTCTTTGGAGAAGACGGTCGTCCATTTTAAGTGTATCAGTCGTCATTTCACACCGCTACAGTAGGACGGAGAACGTCAGGATTCAATTTCAGCATATTTCTCTTACAACTGTAGTGGAGAATTGCCTACTATGAACTGAATCTCTTCCTAAAACAAAAACAAGTAGATCCTAGTGAAGTGACGCATAAGCCAGTAGAGTCCAGCGTCGAGTTGTAATTTTTTTGCTCCTCAATGTAGCTAGAGGAAATGGCTGTGGAAAGCATGACTGTCCATCCAAACTCCCCAACTACCAACCACGAACACAACAGTCTTCTGACTGACGAAAGGTCGAGTAATTCTACAGTCATATTTAAATGAATTAATTTATTTGTCCTGTGCTTTTACACAAAAGCCCGGGGGTTCTTTTTGTTGTTTTTTTTTCTGTCAAAGGGATTAAACTCGCCTTTTCTGGAAAACGAGTACAGAGGTAAAGAGAACGGCCATGTTGACACGGCATCGCCTACTGGGAGGCCTAATAGCAACTGGAACAGCGTTACTCCCTCTATTTTATTACAGTATTACAATCAGCGACCAGTCGATTCAAGCGATCATGTCAAAAAGGAAAAGACAAGGTCGAAACAGCTGATCATTTATAGTTTTTCACTGTCACGGTATACTTTTAATTACCTTACAAGTTCGGAAATTGAGCGCTCTCCCGTTATTTGGAAAATTTCTCAACAGTTTTTAATTTGTATGCGGAGTTAACCTCGCCTTCGCAGGTAAACGGAGTTGAAAATCTAAAAACTAAAGAACCGACCGTTAGTTTCTCCAGCCGTCGGCCTGGCTTTAGCTTAGCAACAAGCTAATTGCTAAGCTAACGGCTAATCGGGTTAGACATTTGGAAATTTGCTCACGTTGCGTTCGCGGCGTTATTCATTTGTTGTATCGATAGCAAACTTCTTGTTTTTTTGACAATTTTTACTTTTATTTGATTAAAATGGTACGATCAAAATATTTCTGAAATTCCACACTTTTCGACGTTTTGAAAAGCAACCGCCGCTACAAAAACTACGCAGTTTCATCCGGGCGTTTTGATATCACCGCTTTGGGACAAACGAAGAATTTAAATTCTTCCAGTCGTGCTCCTAAAACCTTAAAGGTAATTTTTTTATTAAATTTTTTTACAAGTATCGATTGAATATTATTACAGTCACTAAGGACATTTGTCACGACTCTGAAGTTAGCTTCTGACTTGGCACTTGGGAAACAAAAGGTTCTTTTTTCATTGACTTTAGGGTTTGGTACACTAATCAAAAATGTTAAATACCAAAATTGGCTAAGCCTTCTCTGAGCTATTCTATATTCATATTAAGAACACATTTTGGTGTCAAAAACTTGCTGCAGGTGGCCTAACCACTAAAGCATCACTCTAACCTCCCTTTTTGTCAACAAACTACGTATTAAATGGTGTCTGTAATTGATGTATAATGTATAAGCTCACATATGATTTGTCTTAAGTAATTTTGTTTTTACTTTGGAGCAGATTAAAAGTTGTTTATACTCCCTAACAGCAGTGAACCAGCCCTTTAATAAAGGTTCTAATCAGAAGCTAACTTCAGTACAGTGTGTTAGCCTAACCTGTCCCCTTTCTTCACCCATGCACCCCCATAAATCTCCCCCAAAATGTCTGCAAAGCATCCCGGAGTGTTTAAAGTCAAACACTAACCTTCCTTTCTCCAAAAGTGCCCACTTACAATCCCTGCTCACCACCCCTACTAGACTAGAGTCCTTAGCAAAGTAGGGAAAACTTATTTTTCTCTGGTTTTTGTGAAGAAAACCCATCACTGTAAGTATCTCCCCATTTTAATCAAGGCTTACATGATTATTACAGGAGCTTTGACAGTAGAAGGAAAGTGGAGCAAAGCAAAAAGGTGTAAGAATTTAGAGGTTGGCGCAGTGTTTGCTAAAACTTGAAACTCTTTCTGCTTGTGCATAGAGTAATAAATGACCCATTGAGTGAATATCAGCTTTTTAGTTCTGGATTGGATTGGTTATTGTGAGCTGTTTTTATTACATGTTAGGTTTCTGAGCTTTGGGAGTTTGATTGGCATCAGGTGATGTGTGCGTAGCACCAGTTGTTGCCGCTGGTTTGTCCATAGTTGATCCCAGCCATCCCTTTCCTATTCATAAAAATCAGCTCATGTAATGCTGCTAAGCCCCTCTGCTGTGACAGGAGCCATTACTTTGTGTCTCGTCTTTGTGCCGTTAGTGAAATAGTCGAGATCTACTGGTGGAGAAAAAGTTAGCTGGCATTGCTGAAGTAGGAAAGACTCAGATTTGTAATTATTGAATCAAAATTTGCAGAATACACTTTGCATTCTTTATGTTTTATAGCTTTAAATGTGCATTTCTTTTGTTTTGAACTGTGTTCACAAGGCTGAAAAATTGATCAGTGTAATTTTTAAACCGCAACTTTGAATATAACTATTTAGAAGCATAAATTTGTGGTAATGTGACAGCAGATGAGTGTTTGTTTGTTTTGATGGAGAGAATACCCTCTGAATATTAGGGTTGTGGTGTGTTTTGCAGAGATGGTTGACATTTTGTTCCAAAGTAGAGCAACTGAACCACCTGCTGTTTCAAATCTCTGAACTTTGCTGCTTTGGCTGTTTGTGTGTGAAATGTTTAATATGATGTATTAATACTCTGATACGGAGCTCCAGAAAGGCTTTAATGTGCTTTGTGTGTCTGAGTTAAAATGTCAATATTAACGCCTCTTCATAAAACTGTAATCTTGCACCATATTTTTATTTTTTATTAATTGTGTATAGAATTAATTCAGAAAATCTCGTCCCAATTTTGAAATTAGGAACATGAACATTTTAATTCAGCATTTACTGGATGTTTGTGACATTTTGAAACCTCTAACATGTCTTTAGTGTTTCTGACGTCTGTGGCGATAAATAATAATACTGTTTTGAGATCATTTTGAAGTAATATAATCATAATGGAATAATAATGCAAGAATATATTCTCAAAGGTCAATAAACTTTATTTTCTAAAGTGCATTTAAAACTAGGACTGGAAGACATTTTAAATATTCACTATAAATAAAATGTTTCAAATTAAAACATAACAAAACCTAAATCCTAAATATAATGCATTATAAAGTTTCTGTAAACAAAATCGCCCCTCAAAAAGTATTAATCATTCGGCTCCGAATAGAAAAACATTTAAGACTTGCTATTATTAAGGATTTTCTATTATTAAATTAATTTCACTTCTTCATCTGATTAATTCATTTTTTTTGTGACAGTAAATCAATTAATTCCGATTCCTTTAACTTTGGAAGATTGACAATCGGCCGATACTTGCGTGAGAAACCAACTCAGTGACTTTGTCTCTATATTTAGTGAATTTTCAGAAAAATAAAAGCTGGTATCCGACAAAAACAGAATCAGGAGGTCAGGCTTCTTAAAGATCAGTGATCGGCCCGAAAACTGCAATCGGTGCACCGTTAGAATGAAACGACCAAAACTCAAATGACCAGAACCTCAGACAAAAATAGGTTTGTTATTGTCAAGATCAGAGTTTAAATAAAACACTGAGTTAGAGCTTATAGATTGAAAATAAGATATCCACTTTATTTCCTAAACTTATTTTTTCCCCTTTTTGCTTTTCTAAGAAAAGAAATTACAAATGACAAAAACAAAATTTAAAAAGTTTTTTATTTCTGTGATATGTCTGACAAAGTATTAGGAGGCTATGAGAATGTTTAAGAGAATAAATTCATAATATTAGCAGAATGAAGACGCAATTTTAGAGGAATGCCTGAAAATTGTGAGAAAAAAAAGTTGTTTT